CCCGAGGACAGTGCTACTGACTGAAGTTGTCTTTTGGCCATTCCCAAAGGGGGAAATTAACGTTTTCTTATGCCCAGTGGAGTTGTAAATGGGCTGATTTATCAATGTCATGCTCATACTGTGCCAAAACAACATAGGGGGGGAACACTATACAATGATAGAATTCACAGAAATATCGCCATTTAAAAAAAAGGTGAAATGGTATACGTTTAACACCCCGCCCCTATTGAAGTGAACCTCAAATATTTTGATAAATTCGAATTTATCTCTTCAGCAGCAGACTGATGAAGTTATTTTTTTCACTAGAGCACACACACACAAACACACACACACAAACACACACACACACACACACACACACACACACACACGCACACACACACACACACAGAGGCAACAACAACAACAACAAATACAACAAAAACAAAACGAAAGCATTTTATCATCATGGACGGCATCTGAAGGTAATCCATGAGCAAGCCATCCATCCATACCCATCATAGGAGAGGGGGTTTTCCCCACCGGCAAAACAATACTTCAAAGCAGGCATAAATCACACGCTCTGTTGTCCCTTTATCACCCTCTACGCGGGCAGACCTGTGTAATTATAATACAATGGTGCTAGAACGAAGGTCGTTTATTGATTGGTTACAACCGTGACCTCTCGAGCAGCGCCCAGGAGATAGTAAATATGAGATTAATGTACAGTTGGAAGTGTCGCAGTCTCTTATATTAATCCCGCTAACGGTTTGTCGGCGTGCTAAATTAAGATTTTTCCCGCGGCAAAATAATCTTCGGGTCGAGGACCTCTGTAAGAATCAAAATAGTAAAAAGAAAAAATGAAAGAAAGAAAGAACAAAGAAAGATAGAAACCCCCCCACCAAAAAAAAACACCCAAACCCAACAACCCCAAAACGACAACAAATTGGAACAGGACCCAACTTCTTGCACCTTATTTTAATGTTGGTGAAACTGTGTCAGGTTCCCATTGAAACATTTTCCATCGTTTCGTGCGAGTTGGTAATAGCAACACTAATAAAATGTATGAGGGGAGACTACAAAAGAGACAAAGAGAGAGAGAGAGAGACAGAGAGAGAGAGAGAGAGAGAGAGAGAGAGAGA